ATTGAGCAAAAACAAGTCTGTGATGCCCTTAGATGTCCGGGGCCACACGTGCGCTACAATGAAGGTGCCAGCGAGTCTGGGAGCCTGGCCCGAAAGGGTTAAACAAACTGTTTCATCACCGTAGTGACTGGGATCGGAGCTGGCAATTATTCCCCGTGAACGAGGAATTCCTGGTAAGTGCAAGTCATGCATTTGCGCTGATTACATCCCTGCCCTTTGTACACACCGCCCGTTGCCACTACCGATTGAATGGTTTAGTGAAGCCATTGGATTGATGTCGTTGCAGTGGCTTTGCCGCTCGACTGATGCCGAGAAGACGACCTAACTTGACTATTTAGAGGAAGTAAAAGTCGTAACAAGGTTTCCGCAGGTGAGCCTGCGGAAGGATCATTACAAGATACTCGAACATGTACCCAATTGAAGCACGGATATTGTTCTGGTGTGGTGAGACATGCCAGTGGGTGTTGGTTGGCCTGACCAGTTGATCAGCACCAAAGCAGAGATGTTGGTCGGCAAAGACAGCAGGTTGATAACACCATCAATGACATTAGTCGCCTGCCTAGTCGATCAGCACTATGTGATGAGTGTTGTTTGGCCTGGGGCAACCAGTCAGCACAAAAGAACATAAGAAAATGAAGATAGATTGGGCACACACGGAGGAAACCGTCGAGTAACATCGCACGCCAGGCCACCGCTCGCGTGGAATCCGAGTGGGTCATCTTATGTTGGAATGGAAGAGGTTGTGTCAGCAGTACATAAGAAATTACGGGCAGTGATGAAGATGACAGCAGAAAATAGAAGAAAGTGGAGATGTGTTACTGAATCCCTACGTTCCACTCATAAACCGAAGGGAACACTAAAAATAATAATGCATGAGAAATTCCCATTCGAACATTAATAGAGAGAAGATCAGCAGTTCAGAGAAGAGTCTCTTTTCGGCGAATTCATTCACATAGCTGTGCAATCGCATTTATATATAATTATTTGTGTGTGTGTGTACAAGAGGTTTGTCAAGTTTAGATAATTGATCAAGTAATACAAGAATGATCTAATATAGAAACAAGGTTAATCAGACAGCAACTGCAGTAAGATTGAGTTAGTAAGTTAGACGACGTAATGGAATTGACTAAAATGTTTCAACTTAGGTCAGAGTAGCAACAGAGGTAATTACTGGTGAGAGACTAAATAGAAGTGGGGTAGAGAATAATGCCATTCAAATTAGAACTGAAATTGAGCAAATAAGTTGGATGACGTAACATAAATGACTAGAAATTGAGCGTTTGTCAAGTCAGTAACAATGGTAGTGAGGTGTAGAAATCAAATCGAGTGGGGTTAGAGAACAAGAAGGTTGGAAATGTAAAATATTACAATTGAGAAGACAAAATAATACTAATGAAGAGACAGAAAAAAAGATTAGGTAGAATTTACTTGTCGGGTAATAGATTACGTTCATTGCAAATTCGACTGGTTATGGTTATTTTAACTCAACAGGTGAGAATTAATAAATTGTGGGTGGAGTTACGTAATACAAAAAGTATTTAGATGAACTAGATGTTGATATAAGAGGGTAGTAACAACAACATCAACATCCAATTCATCTAAATACTTTTTGTATTACGTAACTCCACCCACAATTTATTAATTCTTACCTGTTTAGTTAAAAAATCATAAGCAATTGTTTTTTTGTTTGACAAAATTAATGTACACATACATATAAAATAACCCATGTATATATATATTTGCGGATGTACGTCTAAGAAAATGAATTCACTCCTGAAAAGAGACTCTTCGCCAAAAATAATAATAACAGTGATAAAATATTTAGTTCATGGAAGTTCTTGACTTGGTCGTGCTCTCTGAGCTGATCAGTTTTATTTAATTTAACCAACTAGTGCGTCGGTGGCATAGCGGTTAGGACGCTCGCCGACCATGCACATGGTCCGGGGTTCAATTCCCAGCCGACGCACTCCTTTACCTCGCTAAGCCAGAAATAACGCTGGTGAAGAGGAAAGGTTTGATATGAGGCTAGCAACCCCACCCTGTAAAAATAAACACTGCCACAGAAACTTCAAGCTAGCTCTAGCTTGAAGCCCTATGTTCCACTGGGAAAGTGAAGGAATAAAAACAAAACCGGAGAACACAACCAAATCAAAATCACCCACCTGAAGTACAAATATCCTCTCCTTTTTAAATGAAAAATCTACTAGACAAGTCTATTATAAAATAAGCACTGAATTCAATCAAATGAAACTGACCAATGACGACATAGGAAAACGAAACAGAAATCTCAGCTGTCTAGATATGCATTGGGAAAAACACTACCATCCATCAGTGAAGAAGTATATGGGAACATCATCACTCACTGGGGAATGCAAGTACATCCAGCTGGCGAGTCCCAATCAGAGGACGAAATGCACGTTATCCTGGATTCCACTGCTATTCACCAGTTAGATATAGAATGAAAGTTGCAAAAAACTACTTATTCTCTGGGCCATCAATAAAAACAATAGGCACTACTCATGAAACATCTTTAGATTTCTGAATTAAGAAGTAGATCTTCTTAGCCAATCCGAATGGATTCATACACACGAAATCACTTGTATTAATTAACAGTTTCAACAATGCCTAACTTGATATGATTATGAGTAGTGATAAATTGTGCTTGAAACGTCATCAGTAAATATTACTATATAACATTGTGAGACTTTATCAAAATAAATTTTACCCACAATGGAACTAATTGACGTTCTTTTTGACATCTCAAAAAAGTAACTTAATATATCGTAGACTTATTAATTCAATGGTGTGCGTCGGTGGCACAGCCGTTAGGACGCTCACCGTCCATGCACATGGTCAGGGGTTCGATCTGGCGGCCACTGACGCAATCCTTTGCCTCGCTAAGCCAGAAATATAACAGGGAAAAAAAGGTTGGGCATGAGGCTAGCAACCCCATTCTGTAAAAACACTGCTACAGAAACTTCAAGCCTCTAGCTTGAAGCTCCATGTTCCACTGGGGACGTGAAGGAATAAAAAAAATTCAGTGATAATTCAGTTATTACTGCGATAAATGATTATGCAAACAAGGTGCAGATCTTCAGTTTGCGAAGACGATCCCCATTGATAATGAATCGAGTATGCCAAGCAGAAATGAGGGAAAAAACTAGTCCAAACCAAAGAAGATACTAAAAACAAGTGATTTCATCAGGGTTCATGAATTTTCGATCTTGAATAAAGCAAGAACGACAGTTTGTTCAGAATAAGACGCTAACGTCATTCATTTCTGTCAGCTCCTCATCAACCGCATATAGCCTAAAGAAATTAATCGATTTTATGTACAGAACAACTGTAACATACTCGCAGATGTTACATAAAGTTAACAGACAGGAGACCTGAAACTTAATAAACAGTGCTCAGAGATTACATCAATACATCTTCTATATAGAAGGCTGAAGTTTAAACAAAAACTAAGTGCTCAGATAAAATGGCAAATGAGTTACATAATAAAGACAAATGCTGAACAAGATAATGAATAACCGGTGAATTTAACGACAATACAGCGAGTTCAATTCAAATCAGAGAAACAAGTAACAAGCATAGTTAAACTATAGTGAAGACAGGAAGGGGTTAAAGACAAATATTCGGTAGTCAAGTGAAAGAGAGATTAGAGATATCCTTTTACCAGGGTAAGGAAGGGTACACCTTCTATTTTCTAAATATGTACCAAAAAGCCTGTCTCAAGGGAATAATTGTTTACAATACTGTCACTCACAGAAAGTCCATTTGATACAGGTCATCAGCTGAACATCATGAAATCCTTTAAAATTGGCAGTAGATCAAATAGTTCAGTTCTACTCAAGTTTGCTGAAGTAGTCTCTATCAAAAGCCTAGAAAACCCTATACGTGTGTTCAGAAATAAGCTGTTATCAACCTTCCTGTGCTGTGGTAACCGGATGTCTCCATTCACTCTCTCTTTCATCTGATTACATAATCTTTGGTTTTAGCTTCGATCCCTTTCACTATACTGTAACTATACTTGTCACTCGCCTCCATGATATGAGTTGAACTCACCATAATGTTTCTCACTTTATTAGTTACTTATCATCTAACTCACCTCTTGTCTTTATCACGTAGTTCCTTTGCCAATGTATGCAAACATTTATTTTTGTGTGAACTTGAACTATCTGAGTGTAAACTATAAAACTGTAACTTCTAAGCACTGTTCATTAAGTCTGGAGTCTCTTGTAAACTGACATCATGTAACATTTACAAGTATGTTAAAGCTGTTCTGTACACGAACCAGCAAAATAATGTTTTGGAATAAGAATTCTGTTTGAATTGGTGCGAAATCGGAATAAGAAGCTTTTCAAAATGCTCATTTTCTAATTATATGATTGTGACTAACCATATCCATCAAGTTGCGTGTGTGACGGCAGAACGTCACTGATTACAATGAATACAGGTGGTGATATATCGTCAGTTGACAAAGGTTGGAACTAAGGAATTTATGTTTGCAGACCGAAAGGTTCAATCGAAATATGTCCACCTTTTAAACTGAAAGTTCTTGGTTTGAATTCTGTTCAAGACATATGAATGCTTATCAGAAAACTGGGGGACACGGTTTAGCCGTTTTACTGTCAGTGGGGAAATGGATTTCTCTAAGGTATGAAAAATTGCAATGTCATGTAACTAAGAACATATAACACTCATTCCGAAGTTTGGATGAAATAGATGTCAGTGTTGCACAGTCTTCAAGGCTTTCCAAATGACACCATTTGGTAATGATATCTACTTTGAAACCATTCAGAAAGCTACAAAAAAAAGATATTTGAAAAAGTCACTTCAACCAGAAGTGACGGAAACTGAGAAAGCATTAGACGCATAATCCAAAATTTAAAGTTATCGTCACAAATATAACGGCATAATACCTCAGTTAACTCGAATCTATGATCCTTATTTTCGCGAATATATACATATATATGTATATATATTTTGGAACTTACTGTTATGATCAATTTCATCGAAAAACTCATCAATACCAGCTACTAATCTCTGACTGGCTAAACTATTGAACCGTTGGATAACTTTGTCATGACTTTTTGATCCAGACAGATGAAGACCATGATCTTGTGGATAATAGCCTAGAATGAAAAGTAAAAACATGGATGATAAATTATTCAACGAATACTATTCATTATTACATAACATTATGAAGAAATAATCTTTCTCAACTTCTTCATATATATTCATGGTCAAAGTTTGAGTTGTACTCTCTCTGGAATTTGATTTCATAAGTTTCTACAAAACTGACTTTCGAGAACCACTCAGTGAGGAATCAGTCAGAAATACACATACAAATTTATTAACATCGTATTGCTTGTAAAATTCCATTACATCCTGTCTATTATTGTTTTTTCTACATTTCTAACCCCTAATTGCACAATGTATCAATCTTCTCAGTAATTATGATGCTACTTTGCCTGAGTTTTATCCGTCCCCACCTTGTTTATTATGGCATTTTAATTCCTAATTGCGATTATATTAATCTGACCCTTAACCAGATATTATTCTGGAACTTTCCTACCCATTTATTATAAATACACGAATGTACAGCCTAGTTTCTACCGACATTGTAATTATTAACCCCTTTTGCTCCCAGATTATATATTATTGTTCTGACATTTGCCTGTCATATGCTGACTTCATTCTTAGTATTTGTCTTTGTCCCTCTTTAATCTTTAACTTTAATGCTTCTATTTGTGGTTGTGCGATACGCTGACAATGTGTTGTTTTAAGATATGACATTGTTTTGAGTGAATAAAGGTGATTCTGACATTGAACTGTCTTCGGGAATTGTTGGTGTGTGATTCTTGCCGACAGAGTTTCGATCCCCTTTGTTGCGAATATTCTACTTGATTATGATCGGACACTAGTCAGTAACTAGTGTGATGTGTCTAGTCCTTTCTTTTCTTTGATGCAGACTGAATTTTATCAGTCAGGTTTGCAATGTGGCCACCATTCTAGGTAGCTCACCATCACGGTGCACATTGTTTTATTGATATTGGATAGTTGGAGGTAACCGACAGGAAACCATGCTTGGACCTAGGTTTCCTGCTAGTTGGCACTCACCAGTCAGCAAGGCGTATCTGTAATATCGAAGGAACTCATGTCACTTCTGAGATTCGAACCCGCGTCACTCAGTGAGTTCTGCAATCAGAGACGTGACCAATGAGCTATTGGGGCTCGCGATTGACCTCCTGTAAGAATGTAGTGGGTATTTTGATTGCCTCCAACTATCTAATATGCTCAAATCAATGTGCACCGTGATGGCTGGCTACCTAGAATGGTGGCCACATTGCGAACTTGACTGGTAGAATTCAGCCTGCACCAAATAAAGGACTAGACACATCACACTAGTTACTATTGTCCAATCAAAATACCCACTACAGTCCTAAAGGAGGTCAATCGGGAGTCCGAATAGCTCAGTGGTCGCTTCTCTGACTGCAGACGGCACTAGGTGACGCGGGTTTGAGTCTCGGAAGTGACATGAGTTCCTTCAAGGCAGTTGCAGATACGCCCTGCTGACTGGTGAGTGCCAACTAGCACGAAACCTACGTCAGGCAAGGTTTCCTGCCGATTGTCTCCAACTATCTGGTATCATCAAATTCTACTTGATTCTCAGATACTTCCTACAGCAGAATTTTATTCAACTAACTTTGTTCTACAGTACTTATTTTGTACTTAGAAACCTACCTTAACTGTCTAGCTCTCTGGTGAGGTAATTTTGAGTTTTTGAATAGATCTTACGATGAATAACCGTCTTTTTGGTGTGTTCGAAGCATCTTTTAACTGTACGTCTGTCAAGGAATTTTCGGTTAACTGTACATTAGGCGGCAAAGATCAGTTTCTCGCGTTCACACCTCAGTAAGTCACTTCTGTGTATAGCCAGTAAAATTGTTTTCAACTGTTCACTTTCATATACATCAATAAACTTATATAAAAAATTAAACACCTATCATTCGTGGACAAACTACTGTTGAAAGTGTTCTAAAAATATTGCCTCCAAATGACCTTTTTAGTTCAAATTAACTGAACGACAAAAGTTCAAATTCCATATCTCACATGACAATTGTATGTAGAATAGTTTATATTTTTTTGCTTCTTTATACCTGAATGAATTGTAACGCAACGAATGATTAACATTTTTAGCTAGTAAGTCATAACACTTCATGGTGTATGTCGTCAACAATTGCCAATAAAAACAATATCACTGAACAATAAGGAATGATAGACAGTCCTACTATGACCTCATGTCTACCGTCCTAATCCAGAAGAGGATTGAACGAAAAACAATTAAGTTAACGGAACAAAGAGTCTACTGAAGTGGTAAGTGTGAATTCAGTGACTTGACGTTAGTAAGTTGCCATCCAATATTCAGCGTTCCCACCTAATAGCTTAATTCTTTTTCAATGAAACCATCGCCATCTGTGGTCATTTATACTCACAAATGAAAAGCATCCTATTCGCACAAAAACGGTCGCTTAATATTTCTCATTTTCATGTAGCTGTCGCAAGTGGTGTGTATATTTTCGACGAATTCCGGCTTTCAATCTATCAAAATCTGGTAAATGTTAAAAAAATTAGCGTAATAAATTACAGTGATTGACAACGCCCATTTCACGTTTGAAGGTGAACACTTTCAATAAATGGACGGTGTTGCTATGGGGAGTCTTTTAAGACCTTTGTTAGCGGACGTTTACATGTCTTATGCATGATTTAATTTCTAAATTGCCCTTCTATAGGAGATGTGTAAGGGGTGTCATTTTAATATCTGTCGACCATCAAGACGTGAGTCGTCTGTTAGATAAACTCAACTCTGTACAGAATCATTTAAGTCTTACATGACAGGCAGAAATTCATAGCCAGCTTGCATATTTAGACGTACTTCTGAGTCGAAGAGATGATGGTTCAATAAAATGATCTTTTTACAGAGAGCCACACTGGACGGGGCAATACCGCAATTTTCACAGATTCTGTCCACTAGAGTATAAGATACGCCTGGTGAAATGCTTATTCAAGAGGATTCAGCGTATTTCTACGCCGGATGTTATGGAGAATGAAAATATAATACTAATCGATACTCTTGTTGAAAACGGATATCCTCTACGATTTTTAAGCCGGTGTAGAGGTCAATTAGTCTTTAAAACTACAATCTATACCGTCCCTAAGAAAAATGTCTTCATCAAATTACCATATAACGAGGAAATAAACAGTAGAAGTTTGAGACAAAGGTTGAATTCGGTCATCTGTAGGACCTGTTATGCAGCCCGGCTTGTAATCGTTACAAAAGCCAAAGATATGCTCCATCACAAGTCTCAAAAGTGCACAAGTGACCATGTCAAATACCATACTATTCGCCAATTCACGTGTGTGTTTGGACACACATGCGTAGTGAGGAGTAATCGTGTTTACATGTGAGGGTAGGAGAGCATATCTCAAAGTGTTTAGAGAAACAGACGAACTTTGGAAAATCAATAGACTCAGGTGTCAGACTACCAACTTCGTCTATAGCTAAACATCAAATCGATATAAACCATAAGACTGATGTGAACACAGCTTTTAAGGTCATCAATAAAACTGGTCAAGGGCACTTAACGAAATATGCTGAGGCTATAGCTATTTCATAAACTTAACCCCCTCCCCCTCTCCTGTGTGTTCAAAAATAATTTATGATTACTGTTCACATACCTTATCTGATTGAATAACAAAACTTTGTGTTAATTATTCTTATTAATCTTAAATCTTTTTTGTCACTTTGTGTACTTTAATTGCCCTTTAATTTTTTTCATATAAATTGACTTGACAAGTAAATATGTGAGGGATCAGATTGTTGTTCGAAATGTATAGCTCAAATACATCACATACGTTTTCAGATAATCTCCGTCTTCTAATAATACTATCCAAATTTATAAAAGGGACTAATTGTTTTAAATTTTGAAAAAAAAACTAGACAGTGATCCAGTTTTGTCTTCACATAAGCCTCATAGTTGCAGTTAACTGTAGAAGGTAAATTTCTTTCTAAACTGATATAATGTCCATTTATGTGGACTTGTAAATTCTTGTAAGTATATCTAAATCTATTTTGATTGGACATTACATGGTAAATCATGTCATGCGTCTAGTTCTTTGTTTAGTACAGAGTGAATTCTATGAGTCAAGTTCGCAATGTGACCAACAGGCTAATATAAACTTCAAAAAGAAAAGGTTGAACGAACTCTTAACCCCATATTAAGCGAACGACACAAACAACGAAGGTGAGTTACTCTCAAATAAAAATCAGCTAAGATTTCTCAATAACCATCTGAAGAAACACTGAATGATTGCATAGTAAATTTATCGTAACAACCACTATCAAAAATAGAAGAACAACGTTTAGATATGATGGAGAAGATTTGCCGCTTAGGTGGATGATTTTGATGTGGTCGTGTTCTCTGAGCGGGATAGTTAATTTGCTAAGCTTTCATTGCCCGCCCTACTAGGCAACAACTTCAGCGCGTACTTCAATCTGTTGAGGTGAGCTTTTAAATTTCTCCAAGAGTTTATTGGTCATCCCTCCTGATGACCCTAAATATGACTGGTCGGAAACTTGGAAACAAACAGTTCCAATACAAGTAGCCTAGAAAGTTTGAAAACACACAAAAACACCCAACCACATTCAAGATTACCAGGAGACATGGTGACTTACAAACTCGTGGAGAAATCTAAAAGCTGACCTCAATAAATTGAAGTATGCGCTGAAGATGTTGCCTAGTAGAGCAATGACAACTTCGCAAATAAACTATCCAGCTCAGAGAACATAACCATATCAAAAAGAAGAACAGTGTTTTCAGAAAGGAGTGAACTACAATACTGATGATACTTCTGAAACAGATTTCTTTGCTCCTTTAAAATCATTACTCAAGCCCTGAAAATTTAATCAAGAAGTACAACACGAAATACATCAATGCATTAGACGTATGATCAAAAAGAGAAAATATAAAACCCAACTTAACACGCAAGAGCAAAATGAATTGAAGAAAGTGGAGAATAGAAAGGACATAGTTATACTAATAGCTGGTAAAGGAAGAACAACAGGGTGATC